CAGGCAGATATGCTGTAGGGTGCAACTCCAAGGAGAACGGGATTATTCGTAATATCAAGTCGCTGTTATTCAAGTGTGTGTGTGTGTGTGTGTGTGTTGTGTGTGTGTGTGGGGGTGTGTTGGTGTTTGTGTTTGTGTGTGTGTATACTCTCCTATTTGTGGTTGCAGGTGTCGAGACAGCTCCTGGCCCCGCCTCTTCACTGAACGCTATTAGGTTCTCTCTCTCCCTGCTCCATGAGCTTTATCATACCTCGTCTTACAACTATGTATGGTTTCTGCCTCTACTAGGTCACTTGCCAGATTATTCCACGTCCTGACAAGTCTATGACTAAAGAAATACTTCCTAACATCTCTTTGATTCATCTGAGTCTTCAGCTTCCAATTGTGACCCTTTGTGTGTGTGTGTGTGTGTGTGTGTGTGTGTGTGTGTGTGTGTGTGTGTGTGTGTGTGTGTGTGTGTGTGTACTAACCTAATTGTGGTTGTGAGGAAGCGAGACTCGCTCGATCTGTGGTTAGCAGGTGTAGCGGCAACCACCCAGGGAGGTACTACCGTCCTGTGGTAGCAGGTTGGTAGACAGCAACCACCCAGGGAGGTACTACCGTCCTGCTAAATGGTTGTGAAACGGAAACCTGTAATTGTTTTACACAATGATAGGAGTGCTGATGTCTTTTTTGTTTCATAAACACACAAGATAAAAGATACACATTACACATACATGTATACACACCCATCTGGGTTTTCTTGCATTGTTCTTAATACTATTCTTGTTCTTATTTATTTTCCTTTCATCTCCATGGGAAAGTGGACCAGAATTCTTCCTCCGTAAGCCATGTGTGTCGTAAGAGATAACTAACATGCAGGGAGCAACAGGCTAGTAACCCCTTCTCTATATATTACTAAATATAAACAGAAGGAAAAACTTCATGAAGGCGTTTCTTCTTATATGGATCATCCTGCCTGTGTGGGAGAAGTTAGGCGTGCTGAAAAAAAAATGTATATATATATATTATATATATATATATATATATATATATATATATATACACCTATGCACACACACAAACATGTGGGTGCATGCACACACACAAAATGCTGATGAAATAACGAATAAATGGGAGTGGCATGAAAATCAGAGACATCACCAGATATCATAGCTCTCACAGAAACCAAGCTCAAAGGAATAATAACAGATGCCATCTTTCCAACTGGATATCAGGTCCTAAGGAAAGACAAGGAAATAGAGGGGGGGGGATGGAGGAGTTGAATTGCTGATTAAAAACCAGTGAAATTTTGAGTAGTTGGAGAGAGGAGACAGGAGAAGCAAGGAACTACAAAATAGGAACACTTCAGACTGGAGGTCTCAAGGTGGTGACTGCAGTGACATAACGCACTACAGAATAGCAGGAAGCCAAGCCAAGAATATGAAAGTAACAGAGCAATGGTTGACGCACTGGTTGAAGTGGCCAGAAGGGCCCAAGTGGGCAGGGGGCGACTTCAATTACAAGGAAACTGACTGGGAAAATTTGGAGCCACATGGGGGCCCAGAAACGTGGAGGGCTAAGATGGAGGTGGTACTGGAAAGCTTCATGCATAACATGTTAGGGACACTACCAAAGAGAGAGGAGAGAGAGAGGAGAAGAGAGAGAGCAGGGGACGAACCAGCAAGACTGGACCTAGTATTCACCTTGAGTAGTTCAGACACTGAGGCCATCACATATTAAAGGTCCCTCGGAGTTAGTGATCACGTGGTTCTGAGCTTCGAATACATAGTAGAGTTACAAGTGGAGAGGGAAGCAGGAAGGGAAGGACGAGTGAAGCCAAACTACAAAAGAGGAGACTACACAGGCACGAGGGATTTCCTACACGAGGTTCAGTGGGAAAGATCTGCCAACAAAGTCAGTAAATGAAATGGATTATGTGACAAAATGCAAGGAAGCAGAGGAGAGGTTCGTACCCAATGGCAACAGGAATAATGGAAAGGCCAGGACGAGCTCTTGTTCCCCCCCCCCAAGGTGTAGAGAGGCCAAAACTATGTACGCTAAAGAATGGGAAAAAGTATAGAAGGCAAAGGACCCAGGAAAATAAGATTAGTGAAGAGCCAGGAATGAATATGCAGAGATAAGGAGGGAGGCCCAGCCGCAATATGAAAATGACATAGCAGCAAAAGCCAAGCTGATGTATAGTCGCATCAGGAGAGCACCAGTCAAGGACCAGGTACTCAGGTTGAGGAAAGGAGGAGGGAGATCACAAGAAACGACTGGGAAGTGTGAAGAGCTCAACTTAAAATTTAGAGAAGTATTTACAGTGGAGACAGGAAGGACACCAGAAGCCAGTGGTGGGGAACATCAAGTGCTGGACAACATACACAACCGAGGAGGAGGTGAAGAGGCCCCATCGCCTTTGAGGTATCCTCAAAGGCGATGGGACCAGACATCTCTCCGTGGGTCCTATCGAAACAGGGCGACTACCTGAGGTGTGGAAGACAGCAAATGTAGTCCCAGTTTTTAAGAAAGGAAATAGACATGCGGCATTAAACTACAGACCAGTGTCACTGACAGGTATAGTATGTAAAGTCATGGAGAAGATTATCAGAAGAGTGGTGGAACACCTAGAAAGGACCTCTATAACAAGATGACAGCAGTAAGACAAGAGAGAGTGGGTAGATTGCACTTTCTTGGACTGTAAGGCGGCTTTTGACAGTTCCACACAAGAGATTAGTGCAAAAGCTGAAGGATCAGGCAGGTATAACAGGGAAGGTACTGCAATGGATCAGAGAATACCTGACAGGTAGGCAACACGAGTCATGGAACCTGACGAGGCGTCAGAGTGGGCGCCTGTGACGAGCGAGGTTCCAAAGGGGTTAATCCTAGAACCGGTGCTGTCTCTGGTAATACGTGAATGACATGACGGAAGGGATAGACTCAAAAGTGTCCCTGTTTGCAGACAATGTGACGCTAATAAGAATTCAATCGAATGAAGATCAGGCAGGACTACAAAGGGATGTGGACAGTCTGCAAACCTGGTCTAGCAACTGGCTTATAGAGTTCGAGCCTATCAAGTCCAAAGTCATGAAGATTGGGGAAGGGCTAAGAAGACCCCAACCAGTACAGTCTAGGGGCCCAAAGACTGTAAACCTTACTCGAGGAAAAGTATCCGAGGCGCACATCAATCAAATAACTGCTGCAGCAAACAGGCGCCTGGCAAACCTAAGAATAGCATTTCGAACCTCAGTAAGGAAAATCGTTCAACACACTGTACACAGTGTACATCAGGCCCATATTGGAGTATGCAGCACTAGTCTATAACCCACACCTGGTCAAGCACGTCAAGAAATTAGAGAAAGTGCAAAGATTTGCAAAAAGATAGTCCCAGAGCTAAGTGGCGTGTTCTACGAGGAGCGGTTAAGGGAAATCGACCTGAAGACAGTGGAGGACAGAAGGGAAAGGGAGGACATGATAACGACATATACAATTCTGAGAGGAATTGACAAGGTGAACAGACAGGATGTTCCAGAGATGGGACACAGCAACAAGGGGGTCACAATTGGAAACTGAAGACTAAGATGAATCACAGGGATCCTAGGAAGTATTTCTTCAGTCACAGTTGTCAGCAAGTGAAATTGTCTGGGAAGTGATGTACTGGAGGAAGGATCTATACACAGCTTTAAGAATAAGCATGATAAAGCTCATGGAGCAGGAAGAGTGACCTAGTAGCGACCAGTGAAGAGGCGGGGCCAGGAGCTGTGAATCGACCCCTGTAACCATAACTAGGCGAGTACACACACGTACAGACACACGAGCTGTGACTCGACCCCTGCAACCACATATAGGCGAGTACACATTGGCGAAAAAAAATAACCCTCGATAATAAAACCCAATCACTAACAACCACACAAAAAATCAATACGATCACCATAATGAATTCCCAAGAAAATGATCTGCGTAATTTGAGAAGAGGTTGCATGCTGAGAGGCGCTGCAGTACTCGGCACTCCTACTGTTGGCTCCTCCTTGCTGGGCACCACGCCCTTCCCAGAAAGCATATACTATAACCGATATATTTTACAATGATCATTAAATATTAAGCGAATTTTAAAGTAAAATGTTAACATTTTTACTCTCTCCTCCATGTGAGGAAACAAGTAAGAACAAGACCCCGGTGTGTGTTGACTTATTGTAACTTAGCCTTGAGGAGGAAGCTGAAGACGATCACAGTCATGAAGATCAGACGCCGGTGTCTGGGTTCTGCGATGATGGGGTACCAACACTCACTAGCAGTGTAAAGTACCAACACTCACTAGCAGTCAGTCCAACACTAGCGTACCAACACTCACTAGCAGTAAAGGTACACCATACACTACTAGCAGTAAGGTACCAACACTCTAGCAGTATAAGGTACCAACACTGCAGTACAAGGTACAAACTATACTGTCAGGATAACCTTCTAGAAGTACAAGGGTACCAACACTCACTGTCAGTATAAGGTAAACACTACCGGTATAAGGTACCAACTCACTAGCAGTATAAGGTACCAACACTCACTAGCAGTATAAGGTACCAACACTCACTGGCAGTATAAGGTACCAACACTTACTGAATCATGGATGGAACCGTTTCCAATGAGAATAGGAAAAATAATTATTGAATCACTCATACATCAGCACCACTGGAAGGTAGTTCTGGGTATGGTAATGTAAGAGCGGCTCCATCAAACATGCTCTCACTCGTGCCCTTCAACATTGATATTGATTTACCTCAAGAATCAACAAGACCAATAATATACATACCCAATAGTTTAAATTACATGAATGCCCTTGATACACGTCTTGTTGACCTGCTACTAACAGTATCGAAGGTTGTGAAGGTACTGAGTAAGAACTGCCCTGAAAGTAACTGCTGGCTGCCGTAACAGTCTTCTAACCTAACTGCCTGGTAATTATTGGTATTGTACATATTAAACAAAGAAAAATATTAAAAAGACTAAAATAAAATAACACTCACAGGAGACTTAGTTTTCGGAGATCCTTGAAGGCATCAACGTGGACACACTCGATCTTGTTGGCGTTGAGTAGCCTGACGAGAGAAAATATTCCTCACTTTCAAAATATTGCTATTTTATTAAAATCAAATCAATAAAATTCAGAATTTTTGGTCAGCGTCTTGTTAGAATAAATTAGTCCTAGAGCTTAATGTATTACGTAACAGTAATAGCAATATTTATATTACTAATAAAAAGCTATTTCCTCTTATTTTCTTTTGTATATTGTAAGTTTGGCGTGTGATTCAGTACTCACAAGAGCTGCAGATTGGTGAGTCCCCTCAGTAGTCTGGAAGAGATGCTGGTGATCTGGTTGCCATAAAGCACACTGTCGAGAGGCCAGCGACAACCACGATTGTTGATCACAAAGAGGAAACATGAAAGTGTTGGTTCATAACAAAAATTGCTATTTACATAAAACAAATAAAGATTACTGTTATCTATATCATGAGTATATTTAATGCCAAACACAGCGCTAAACTATTTAGATTATTTTAAGTAATAACTAAATATATTTTAAAAAAATCAATGTTTTGTAAATAATTATATCTGAAAAAAAGTGTCATAGGTAAAAAGCAGAAGTAACAGACCTTTAGCAAGCATTCGTAACCCGAGACTATTATACTGTCTTATTATATCAGCGCTTAACAAGTGACTTAATACATTACGGCACTAGTAGATAAATTAGACATGTGCAACACTTGGGTATCTTTGCTGAGTAAACGTTTCGCCACACAGTGACTTCATCAGTCCAATACAAAGAAGAATAGTGAAAATCAGGAGTTTGAGGTAATAAGTCCCTCAGCCTGGAGTCGATGTAAAGAGTCCATCAATCTTCACAAGACTGTGGGACTGATTACCTCAAATTCCTTCTGATCTTTACCATTCTCCTTTGTATTGGACTGATGAAGCCACTGTGTGGCGAAAAGTTTCCTCAATAAAGATACCAAAGTGTTGCACACGTGTCTAATTTATCAACCTGTCGGATCTCTGAACCATTTACCTACAGCACTAGTAACTGGTAAGATCTACAAAGTCTGTAAACCACTTTAAACAAAAAGTATTAACAATAGGTAGATTTCTGGCAAACTTCAAGTAGAGTTCTGATAACTCTGGAAAACGAGCCAGGAAACAGTTCCGCACAGGATAAAGATAGGCTTGTATCCGAGGCACACAATGATCCCGAACTGCCCTTTCCTTCCTCATTGCTACTGCATCACTGGATACGCAGAGCCAACATTCCCCGTCTCCGACTTTTGCTTTTCACAGCTCCAGCTTTATCCGGAATGCCTTCACTTTGTCAATATAATCATGAACAGTGGCATCTCTTACCTACAAATCTTTGGCGAGGCGAAAGAGTTGGGAAAAATATCCACAACGTGGACGAGAATGGTAACCTATTCCTTGGCCAGAAATTTTGCCAAGAGTTTTTCTTTCGTAGTTTTTTTTTTTTGTCCACAGGACTAAAGAAATTTTCTTGCAATTCAGAGACCTGACGTGGCAGCGAAAAAGGCCGCAAACTCGTACGTGATAGAGAAGCGGTCGCGAATATAGTAGACATCTTACCGGGAGTATACCAGGAGGCTGCTCCGGGGATTAACGCCCCCGCGGGCAGGTCCACGACCAGGCCTACCTGGAGTTTACCTGGAGAGTTCCGGGGGTCAACGCCCCAGCGGCCCGGTCTGTGACCAGGCCTCCTGGTGGATCAGAGCCTGATCAACCAGGCTGTTACTGCTGGCTGCACGCAATCCAACGTATGAGCCACAGCCCGGCTGGTCAGGTACCTACTTTACGTGCTTGTCCAGTGCCAGCTTGAAGACTGCCAGGGGTCTATTGGTAATCCCCCTTATGTATGCTGGAAGGCAGTTGAACAGTCTCGGGCCCCTGACACTTATTGTATTGTCTCTTAACGTGCTAGTGACACCCATGCTTTTCATTGGGGGATGTTGCATTGTCTGCCAAGTCTTTTGCATTCGTTGCGAGTGATTTTCGTGTGCAAGTTTGGTACTAGTCCCTCTAGGATTTTCCAGGTGTATATAATCATGTATCTCTCCCGCCTGCGTTCCAGGGAATGCAGGTTTAGGAACCTCAAGCGCTCCCAGTAATTGAGGTGTTTTACCTCCGTTATGCGCGCCGTGAAGGTTCTCTGTACATTTTCTAGGTCAGCAATTTCACCTGCCTTGAAAGGTGCTGTTAGTGTGCAGCAATATTCCAGCCTAGATAGAACAAGTGACCTGAAGAGTGTCATCATGGGCTTGGCCTCCCTAGTTTTGAAGGTTCGCATTAGGTCATGGAACGAAAGTGCCATTTATTAAGGAAATCTATTTTATGTAGTTAATTATCTTGATTACGCCTAAAAGCCCATTTTTCAAATCTGAGAAGTGATGTCTCTGAAGATGGATCTGTGGCTACAACACTCCCCTGAATCCTGCCGAGAATGGCACAATCTCCGTCATTTATACGCGCGTGCTTGACTAAGTAGGGGCCACGAAGTATAAGAATTTAAACAACCTCTTGAAGGAAAATTTCACATCTTGTTACATCAAGGACGACACCAGAACTTCCGTACAGTCATCACAAAACTTTGAACTTATTACATTGAAAAATTATAATTACACGAGATCAGTAAGATAGACAGTGATGATCAAGACGTATGTGCAACAACTTGGGTATCTTTATTGTGGAAACGTTCCGCCACACAGTGGCTTTATCAGTCCTATACAATGAAGAATAGTGAAGATCAGAAGGAGTTTGAGGCAATCAGTCCATCAATCCTGATAAGGTTGATACACTGATTCCCTCAAACTCCTCCTGATCTTCACCATTCTCTTTGTATTGGACTGATAAAGCGACTGGTTGGCGAAACGTTTCCACAATAAAGATACCCAAGTGTTACACGTGTGTTCTCTGAGCCATGTATCTACAAGATAAAAATTATATACAATTATATACCTCTCCAGTAACAGAATAATTAATCAACTATGATAAACGAGTTCCAGACGTCTAACTGAAAGATGATTATTCTTGTTCAATAAAAGAATATTTGAACAGCCTACAACTGTGTTATTAAGTAAACAATTTAGAAAAAAAGTTGAACTACGTGTATCCAAGGGCGAAAAACTTATAGCACATTACTTTTTAATAAGCAGTAAACTCGACCTGCACTGATGTTTGACGTGGGGGCACAGGAGTGACAGGAGTGACACAGCAGTGACACGGGGGTGACACGGGAAACAGATTTATAAAGCTTTCATTTTTTGTATAAAGACACACACAAAAAACTAAAAATGAAAGACATTACAAGCACAAGGTAAACACTGATTACTGTAGCAGAGGTCATACTACTGCTAAGAAACAAGTGACTGTAGTACTCACAGGGAGTTAAGACTGTCGAGACCGTGGAAAGCGTCCTCGGCCACCTCTGTGATCTCGTTGTTGCTCAAGTCACTGCTCAGGAATAAAAGTACACCATTATAGTCATTATGATGATAAACGTTCAATATTACAATAACATTTAATATCAAAATAACTTCATTGCTTAAAAAACAAACCACTAGAAAGTTGAAAATATTAAATGAAGTAAATACTGAAGAAGAGAGTGTAGGTATCCCTCACTAATTAACATTTGTAACTGATCACATTCACATACCAACACACCTTGACAGCCACCACCTAACTCGCCTCTTAGCCAAAATTCCGCAGAATTCAGCCATTATTCTTGTCTATTTGAACAGTTAAAGTTTGGAACAATGTGCAAGTGGTATTTCAGTTTTTAGATTTAGATAAATTTAGGAAAAATATCTTAAAATAAAATCTAGACATTTGTTGAAAACATAAGGAACACTGCAGCAGGCCTACTGGGCAAGTCCAAGGATGGACTGTGATACTTACATGCGCTTCAGCAGGCGATAGGGAGTGAAGATCTTGGAAGGGACGTGACGGATCTCGTTGTGTTCCAGACGCCTGTGAAAGATGACGGTAGTGATAGTAGCAGGGAAAATTATGGGGGGGTAACGGTAGGGAGTCTAATGCATGGACGGTGACATACTGTAGTAGAGATTAGATGTAATGCTCAATGATAACCCACAGAGACAAACTCACGAAACTAATTGATCTGTATATTTGGACCTCCCTTCTGGGATCCTGTTCAGCTGAATAGGATCCCAGAAGGAAGTTAAAATATACAGACAAATTAATCTCCAGAGTTTCTTTCTCTATGTGGGCTAATATTGAGCACTGACAAGCGTTCCAGACCAACGTGTTAGCTACTGGAAGAGCTGGCTACAATAAGATTCGTCCAACTAGGTGTATTTATAAACCATAGGAAGGTTAGCATGGACCCCACCGTGACCACAAATGCAAGTTTTTATAGATGAATCTTCGTGGTATGGTTTGTTTGAAATCGTGTCATCACGATTTCGTGAGTCATGATGGCGGCTTTAAGGGGACTTGAGTTAGAGTTCCTCACGACCATACTGGCAGAGATTCATCTGTAAAAACTTGCATTTGTCAAAGTGGTGCATATGCTAACCTTTCTATGGTGTATAAATATACCTAGTAGGATGAATCTTATTGTAGCCAGCTGGCCTAGTGGCTAACGCGTCGGTCTGGAGTTTTGAGACTTAATAACCGCGAGTTCAAACCCCACCCGTGCTATGGTTCGTCTTCCACACTTTGTCTATCTCTTCATTTCTGTGTTTGTGTGGCCGGTATACATGCGTGAATGCGTCCGTAATGTATGTATATGCGTATCAATTAGTTTCTGCATTCGTGCAGCCAGAATCTGTTATGTACACCTTCATGTTGGAGATTGAGACACTTATGCAGCATATGGGAATCTTTATTCAGGAAACGTTTCGCCACACAGTGGCTTCATCAGTCCAATACAAAGAGGAAGGCGTAAGGAGAGGAGGAGTATGAGGTAATCAGTCCCTCAGCCTGGAGTCGATGTGTTCAGTCCATCAATCTTGTAGAATGTACAGCATAGGGCCGTAGACGTGGCTTATATACTGTAGTGAGGCGACTTGAAGGAGACGGAGGCGGGATCATAGTGGTACCATCCACTAGTCGAAGTAGGTCTTTGTCCAAAGGTTGAACAAGTGTTGAAGAATTCTTTGTATTGGACTGATGAAGCCACTGTGTGGCGAAACGTTTCCTGAATAAAGATTCCCATATGCTGCATAAGTGTCTCAATCTCCAACTCGTCGGTTTTTCAAACCATTCATCACAACTGTCAGACACTGCAGCATCATGGGATCTTGTTACAAAGAATTCTTCAACACTTGTTCAACCTTTGGACAAAGACCTACTTCGACTAGTGGATGGTACCACTATGATCCCGCCTCCGTCTGCTTCAAGTCACCTCACTACAGTATATAAGCCACGTCTACGGCCCTATGCTGTACATTCTACAAGATTGATGGACTGAACACATCGACTCCAGGCTGAGGGACTGATTACCTCATACTCCTCCTCTCCTTACGCCTTCCTCTTTGTATTGGATTGATGAAGCCACTGTGTGGCGAAACGTTTCCTGAATAAAGATTCCCATATGCTGCATAAGTGTCTCAATCTCCAACTTGTCGGTTTTTCAAATCATTCATCACACCTTCATGTACATATTTAAGTGCATATTTATGTCTACGTCTGTGATGCCCGTATCTCTCAGAGTTCTGTAAAACAAATGAGGCTTGAACATTCTTCTGTGGAGTGAAACTACGGAAACTACGGAACTTCCTGACCAGAGACGCCAAGCGTATAATTTACAGGGAAAAAGGAGTGTACAATTCACAGAAAAAAAGGAGCATACAAACTTTGTAACATTTCCTCTGCCTCCTGGCAACCAAGAAGGTAGGTGAACACACGAACAAAAACTTACAAATACCACCTCCCCCGCTATTCATTTCTCAGAGGATGAGAAAATTCTTGCCTGGGAGGCTGGATGCGTGCGAGACGGGGGTAAAAGTTCCCTTATCACGCCACCAAAAAAAAAAGTTAATGTGAGGCCATTTGTTGGGCAGCCCGGTATCTGAAGCCCCGACTATTTTACACCCCGAGGAGGAGCACAACAAGCGCCCCGCCCCGCCCCGCCCCACCCCACCCAACCCTACCTCACAATATACTCATTCATTCATCTTTCTTCTTCGTTCGTAGAGTTGTCGGTCCGTCGGTCGTTGGTTAGTTGGTTGGATCTCTCTCTCTCTCTCTCTCTCTCCTCTCTCTCTCTCTCTCTCTCTCTCTCCAAATGGCAGTAATTTTTCATCCCGTGTAAATGTCAGAAACAGTATTTAATTACGCTAATTTCTCCATAATTCTGCAGCCTTTTAACTTAACTGAATAATTAATAATTCTCAAATCGTATAATCTTTCAGAATAAAAAAAAAAGTTGGGACACATGAAAGGCGTTTGAACTTTACGAGACTAAAGAGAAGTTCCATCACCACCAACCTATTATTTTCACCTTCAATTATATGTGGCGGAAACTAAATTTTATCCTCAGTAAAAACTTATCTAACACAGGGGGGGAAACAGTTAATATCTTTCTGGACAGTCAGTATCTTCATGGACAGTTAATATCCTTCTGTCTGTACCGGAGTAATATTGCAAGGAAGAATTATTTTCTTCCTACAATACCACAAAACTGCAATACCACAATGCCCCAAAAACTACAATAGCCTCAGGTACCGTTGCTGTTTGGCAGGGATTGGGGGGTGGGGGAGATCTTTGACGTTTATTATGCTTACGTGAATCATTATTATATTCAAGGGAGGAACGCTAAGAGAACACAATAAAAGTCAGGGGCCCAAGACTGTTCAACTGCTTTCCATCATACAGTAGGAATATTACCAACAGACCCCCTGGCTATCTTCAAGAAGGCGCTGGACAGACACCTAAAGTCAGTACCTGACCAGCCAGGCTGTGGTTCGTACGTTGGTTGTTTGCGTGCGGCCAGCAGTATCAGCTTCGTTGATCAGGCCCTGATCCACCGCGAGGCCTGGTCACAGACCTGGCCGCGGGGGCACTGACTCCTCTAAACCCCCTCCAGGTATACTCCAAGTAAGGTTCATAGTGCTTGGGGTTATAGGATGCATTCAGATTCAATACAAGGAAGGGGAGAGCAGGTCCAGTTGTTTGCATCAAGAGCACCTCACCAGCATCAAGGAACCTCCTTTAAGAGGATATTTATGTGAAAGCCCTATATCCGTAGGAGGTTAGAGGTTTCACATAAATATCCCCTCAAAGAAGGTTCTAGAGCTTTAGTCAGTGTCAGGCAGAAAAAACTATGTTCACATAGTATGGACTTAACTGGAAGAGCTAAACCCCTAAGATTATACAGCGCCTGTGGGGGAGATGTGGAAGGTATCCAGGTTTAATTCAGGAAACTGGAGCACAGATCCAATTCCCTAGATCAAGAGCCCTTCACCAGCATCAAGGAACCTCCCTTGAGGGGACCAGCTTCTACAGATCTATGACAGCATCACAGTATGGTCTGAGGACAGTAGCAGGTCCAACTGGTCCATCTCAAAGTCAGCCTACCCAACATTCTCCACCTGGCTCTCCACACTATATATACTCATGTACTCTTTATCCAGGTAGATCTGTTTGCGACTTGATAAAGTCCACTGTGTAGGCGAAACGTAGTCAATAAATGATCACATTATACTGCATTTGCGTTTAATTTTTACAGCAAGTTCAGGTGGGCTTGTGAAAGCAGGACCCCGTTTAGTCTTTCTCCAGAAAACGTCACACTTAAATTCTCCTCTTTGAAACCGGAGTTAAATACTATTTCTATAATATGAGATTTATGCAGAACTGAAGTATCTTGAGGATTCACTGCTGGTGAATACTTCAGTATGCTACACGAGTTGTTTGAAAATCGCCTGTTTGGCGAGTTGACTAACATGTTTATGACAGGAAGTATTCGTGCAAAATTCATGAGAAGTATACATTTTTTGACGATATCCAGGTTAAGAATCAACAACAATCTCCTGTCAATGACGTGATTGAGAGCGTTGTCGCACTTTTACATGTTGCACATCAATGGTAGCCGCTTCAAGCAAATAAACTGCAACTTACTAGATACTCTGCCATGAACTTTCACATTGTTTATCCTGAAGGTCAGATAGGACTAACATAACAGCCCCAGCAGAGGAGAGGAGATTGAGGGTGGTCAGTCAATCAGTCAGTGACTAAGTAATTTACAGTAGTCATCATCACTTTAAGAGTGATTATAAAATGGTTTCTGTTACCCTACGTGCATCTGAAGTTTTCTTACCAAGCTGGGTTGCAGGAATTGCTGGCGATGTTAATTTGACAGCAAAACAAGCATTATCTTGACAGTACCATCTTGTGTCTGAGAGCAAGGAGTTAAAGGAATGACAGAATATATATTCTTGGTGGACGTTTCGTCCACCAGGAACTTCAATTCACAAAGAACAAGACAAGGGAATTTATAAGGGATAGAGAGGTCTTGAGGTGAAACAGAGATCGGGAAGTTACATGTGAGTAACCAGCCCAGTGAGATTAAGTACCTTAGATATACCTCTGAGTTTCGAGAGAGTACTCTAGGAGCCCGGCCATGGGCCAGGCTCGTCTGGTGCTTTATTTCTACAAGTACATGTAAAAGGTATATAGGCCTAGCTGAAATCAATAACATATCATATAGAAAGCCCCTTGTTATGCAGAGCATTTTGGGCAAATCAGGTCAATTTTGTCCCCACAATGCGACCCACACCAGTCGACTAACACCCAGGTACCTATTTTACTGATAGGTGACCAGACAGAGCAGGTGTCTTAAGGAAACAGGTGTTGTTTCCACTCATACCGGGAATCGACCCCCGGACCTCAGTGTGTGAGCTAAGTGCGCTACCAATGCTGTGGAAGTAGCACATCATCTGTAATATGTGATAAATGGTTTTGAAAACCGACTAGTTGAAGATTGAGACACTTATGCAACATATAGGAATCTTTATTAAGGAAACGTTTCGCCACACAGTGGCTTCATCAGTCCAATACAAAGCAAAAAGGGGTAAGGAGAGGAAGAGTTTGAGGTAATCAGTCCGTCAGCCTGGAATCGATGTGTTCAGTCCATCACTCTTGTAGAATGTACTGCATATGGTCGGAGAAGTGGCTTATATACTGTAGTCAGGCGAGTCTAAGCAGGAGGCGGCAGGATCATAGTGGAACCATCCACTAGTGCAAGTAGGTCTTCGTCTAAAGGTTGGGGAAGTACTGAATTCCTTGTATCAACATCCCATGATGTTGCACATCTGTCAGACACTTCATCATGGGATCTTGATACAAAAAATTCAATACTTGTCCAATCTTTGGACGAAGACCTACTTACACTAGTGGATGGTTCGACTGTGATCCCCCCGCCTCCTGCTTAGACTCACCTGACTACAGTATATAAGCCACTTCTCCGACCATATGCTGTACTTTCTACAAAAGTGATGGACTGAACACATCGATTCCAGGCTGACGGACTGATTACCTCAAACTCTTCCTCTCCTTACCCCTTTCTGCTTCGTATTGGACTGATGAAGCCACTGTGTGGCGAAACGTTTCCTTAATAAAGATTCCCATATGTTGCATAAGTGTCCCAATCTTCAGCTGTAATAGTAGCACCTCAGCGATGTTAGTAGCACCACCAAGACAGGTGTCATGTACTCACAGTTCGATAGTGTCGTCTGGGATGTGTGTAGGAACATCCGTCTGGCCTGTGTCGCGGCAGTCGACGATACCAGCGCCGCAACGGCAAGCCCGAGGACACAGCGGAGCCAGCGAGCACCCGCGGTCCACACTGTCAACTAAAC